TCTTTGTCAATCATCTTATGTCTGCAGGACTATGGTTAGCCCAATACAGTAATCACGCTAAATGGCTGAGGATCTCTCTGCTTCACCGACGTTGAGACGTATAACTTCTTTATAGCTACACCCCTTTGTACTCGGACTTCCCCTCAACCATTTGGATCCTGTACCAAGAACCTGTCTCTTGCAATCCGAAAGAGGATTCCAAGATGGTCGTTCAGCAATCTTTATGGCTGTAGGTGTCGTCAGCAAGACCTGGTATGGGCCTTCCCACTTTGGACTCGACCAACACTTCCTTTTGATGACCTTTATCAGCACCCAGTCGCCGACCTGGATTGGCGTACCGTCACTCTGCAAAGATATAGGTGTATCTGGCATAAAGTTAGAATTTTGTATTTCTTTTGTTTTTAGCACAGTGGTGTTTTAAATTTATTTTCATCTTTTGGCTTATGCTTGATATGACTTGGCTCATGTAATAATTTATATTGTCACAAACCTTGGTATAATCTCTTTGACCAATGCTTTTGCCACTGTAATAGCATCAGCGGCTTTTGATGGGAACAATTCTACCCATTTAGAAAAGGCATCCACTATGACTAGACAGTATTTCTGTCCTTCACTTTTATTGAGTTCAATGAAATCCATATGTAGCACCTGGAACGGGTAATTAGGTTTTGGGAACTTAACTCTTTTTGGTCGGTTGTTTCCTTGTGAATTATGTTTAGCACATGTTAGACATGCTGCAAAAAAACTTTCTTTTAGTAATTATTAAATCCATAGGTGGTGAATACTTTGTTTATGGTATTCACCGTCACTCCTGTTGAGACGGCAAGGCCCATGGCTCAATATTGCAACCCATTTAAACAATGATTTTGGTAAAATTGGTTTACCTTCAGGTGGTACATTTATTTTATTGACTGTCTGACCTGACCTTTACATCACTTTCTCTCACTTTCGCTTTACCTTCTTTTCATTTTGTCTTTACCTTCTTTTCATTTTGTCTTTACCTTCTTTTCATTTCCTCTTTACCTTCTACAGGTAATCGAGCAAGGTGACATAAAGAGAGACAGCAGTGGACATGTGCTAACTGCCTGCTTTAGTCAGTGTGTGCAGCACAGTGCCATCACAAGTGAGGCAACGCACGTTGCTAGTTGTCGCTGATAGGTCGTAAGGTGAACCATGAAACGTCTTTCATAAGTTGAATTGCGCTCTGATCTCTGCAAACTAAGATAACAGCAAAAAGTTTGTCACAAAAAATCCTGCCCATTTTTTTTATAACAAGGCATTTCATACAGAACTAGCGTCTTCAAGGCGCAATAAGATTTTTGGTGCGCGAGAGATGGTACGGTCGACACGTGACTAAGATTTTTGGTGCGCGAGAGATGGTACTGTCGACACGTGACTGGACTACACTAATAGGGTAGCAGCTTTTGTTAAACAGAAAAGCAAGATGGCTACCTGCAGAGTTTCAACTAGCAGTACCGAAGAAGAGGAAAACTTACCAAAAATTAGTAAAAAAAACCCCAAAATCTTCAGGACATAAACAGTGCTATATGCAAATAGCCTTTGTGAAGTTCCAAAAAATTCAGGATTTTACGCTTGCACGGTGGAATATGTACAGGAAGAGTCTACAACAGTGGCTTGGGTTGAGTGGTGAGTGCTGATACGTAGCTGAAAACTACAAACACTGCCTGGATTTGGAGTTTGAAAGCATTACCGAGAACGCTGCTTTCCATCCAACATGCTGCCCGAGGTTTATTGACAATTTTTATATTTTTTCACAGGGACAGGCCACAGGACACGCATCATTGACATAACCAAGGTGTCATCAGCTCTTGGAACCAGTGTGTTTAGCCTTGATTAACATACATACATTCTCTGGGTGTGACTTCTCAAGTGCCTTTTATGGTAAAGGCAAAGGAAAGACATTTTTCTGTAGCATGTGAGAAACCTTAAGAGTACCTAAAGGCTTTGAAAAATCTGGATGCTAACTTTAACTCAACATTTGCGCTACTTTACAAATATGTATGCCACCTGTATAGTCAGCCAGCTGCTGAAAATGTCAATTGGGCTAGATACAAGGCTCTCTGTATGGCATCATCAGCCTTGCCAGAATTGTCTATTCACCCTACAAGTGATGCCCTCCATTAGCACTGCAAAAGCGCAAATTATTTAAATATAAAGCACTGTTTAGAATCCATTTGGCTCACTTCAGAAGACTTTTCAGGGAGAATTCCTCCGCATTGGTAACGTAAAGTAAAACCACGGAGGCAGCCATGTTGCTGGAGGGTTGTCATCAATCAGCTACTCGATTGGTCTAGCACGATCGCATGTCAAACCACGCCACCGTTCACGAACCAAAATCTTATTACGACCTGAAGAAGCTAGTTCTGCCAGGTATTTTTTGCTAGTTCATAAAATGCCTTGTAATAAAGAATGGGTAGGATTTTTTGCGACAAACCTTTTGCTGTAAGTTTAACGTAACTCATTCTTTTTTTATAAACTTAAGATCGCTTAGTTCGCAGATGTTGGCGCAAGATGAAACGATAATAGGGTTCACCTTACGGCCCATGAGTGCAGATGAGAGTAAAGGGGAGCGCTTGTGTATGGAAGTAAAGGGGTTTGACTGCTTGATCCTAGTGCCTGTATGAAAGCAGCAACAGAGACACACTTAAAATTGTTTGTGTTTTATTTTGCACTTTAGTTCCTTAAAATATGAATACTAAAACTCTCCATTCTAGGGTAACTTCCTTAATTTCCCGAAGGGAACTCCCAAGGGATTAATAAAAACCTCTCTGTCTGTCTTACTGTCTGTCTGTCTTATCTATCTAACTGAGCTTCTTTTTTTTCGAAATAAATGGTATTTATTCAAAATTATCTGTTCAACAGTTAACAGCGCTAACATGTGCGCTCCTGCGCTATGTCTGGCTTTCATATACGGTCCGTCTGTCTTGTCCAGTATGCACTCCTCTGTTCACTGCTCCTACTAATAAGGATAGGCTTGATTACTCAAATTGTGCTCACCTGTGTCCAGGGCTGACCCTGCGTCGAACCTCCCGTGCTCTCCCTCCTTCAGCTGAGCGCTAACTTCTGTTGCGCACCCAAAATGTGTATTTAATATATATATGTAATATGTATGTCTTATATTTCCATTTTACAACTGCACTGCATATATTTTGTGTGGCAAAGGGTAATACAGTCTAGGGAAGGTTGATAACAGTGTGGGGTAGGTTCGTGAAGGGTATTTATAACTGTGTTTGATATTTCACTGAATAAGTATTTATATTTGATATTTTCCTTTGTCTCTACCTTACTTGATCAGTGACGGTTTACATCTCATCGTATACAGTATGACTGAAGTTTTTTTTTTTTCAATTTTTTGTTTCAGACTGACTCTTCATTACTTGCTCTCATGGGGATCCGGTTTGAAGGCCTGATTCCTGCTATCATACTTCCCCTGTTTCTTACCATGGTAGGAAACACGTCTCTAGATTGTTTAATTATTTATTGCGTCAAAATTAATTGTACAGTAAACCCTTGTTTTTCGCGGGGGTTACGTTCCAAAAAGAACCCGTGATAGGCAAAATCCGTGAAGAAGAAATCTTTATTTTTTTTACAATTAAATACTCAGAAAAAGAAGAGAAAGAACGAACACACCATTTTACAGAGTCAACCATTTGTTTCACAAATAAAGTAAAATAAAAGTACGTTAGAAACGTTTCAACAAATAACTTCTGTAATGTACAGTTAAATAATAATTTTAATCATCAACGTGAACAGAAGGCTTCAAATTGCGGAGATTAGCACCGCCCACCGAGAACGGGAGAAAATTAAAAATGATTATGAAAAAAATACTAAAACTTATTGCTGCTGTCTTCCTTATGTTTTTTTCTTCCTTCTTTATGGAACGAACGGAAGATTCATTAATTCCATAATGCCGAGCGTTTTGTCGACATGAGGTTTGATAAACTCGAAATTGCAAGAGAATTTGCACGTACTTTTTATAGTGACTTTTTAGCCAATCAGAATGCAGAACACAATGCACGATGCAAATCCGTGAAGTAGCGAAACCGTGAAAAGTAAACCGCGTTATAGCAAGGGATCACTGTATTTTAATTTAATCCTGGTGTAACTGCTTTAACAGTTTTGTGTGCGCTGCAGGTCTTATTTTTGGGCCCGCTCATGCAGCTGGCCATGGACTGCCCCTGGACCTTTGTGGATGGCATCAGAGTAGTCCTTGGTGAGAAGGAAAGTGTGACACAGCACAGCACTGCACACAACAAAATGTAACCTCTGCATTTTACCCATCACCAAAGTGAGCACGGGGCAGCTTAAGAGCCCAGGGAGCAGTGTGTGGTGATGGTGCAATGCTCAGTGCACCTCAGTGGTAACTTGGCAGATGGTGAACTTAATCGTGAAACTTTCCTTAACCACCAAGCCACCACTGCCCCAGCATGGCAGCATGCTGATTTCTTTTTTCCCTTTTTTTTTTGGTTACATTTAAACTGCCACGATAAATATTTTAGGAGCAGTTTTCCCTTGAATTGTTTTGAATATGTTTGGCTGATGTTGTATTTTTATCCTCTGTTCTTATCATCTTGCAGACCCTTACTTTTGGGCACTGTGCTTCAGTGATATGCGTTGGTTGAGAAACCAGATCGTAGCTCCTTTGACAGAGGAGCTAGTCTTCAGGGCCTGCATGCTTCCCATGTTGGTACCGTGTGCGGGCCCGTCTCTTGCTATCTTCACCTGTCCGCTTTTCTTTGGAGTGGGTGAGTCTCACAGTAAAGCTGGTGTGGGCCGCAGTACTGGATTTTCGACACATTCACAGCTATTTACAACACTACATTTCTGAATTTCTTACGTCGAAAAAAGAGAAAATACAATTTCAAATCAGTAATTTTTTTTCCACAGTGGCAAAAAATAAATAAATAATTATATATATTTTTTCACCTGCTGTATCACCTCTAAAATGATTCCCCGACCCCCACTTTGGGAACCACTCGTTGTGGTAAACATAAAGCTGAAATGCCCTCGTTTCTGAATGAAACAACATTCAGATATATTTATCTTCTGCCTACAATCAACGTAGGCAAGACAGAAAATGAATTTGATAAATATATAATCAGAAAGATAGAATGGCCACCAACTTGATACGTCTTTGAATGCTACGACATTTGTATATCAACATTGTTTCTTTGCTTGATATCCTGCTGATATCAAGACCTACAATATACAGATATACAATTGTATACAATTGTATACAGATATACAAGACCTTATAGCAGGTGGACAGTTATGTTGGCGATTTTTTTTTTATTTAATAGGATGGTCAAGGAAAGCACTAATCTAGCAAGCTTTATCCATGACCACATGCATGAGTGGAAATTAAGTTCATATGTAAATCTGTCAACAGACACCCGAATGTTTTATCATCTCAAGTGAAGCCCTTACGTCAGAGGGTCTTCTCTGCAATTTACGCAATGTATAGCATTGGCATGGGGCTGGAATCAAGACATTATGTTCGCTCTCACTGTCTCGATGTCCTAAACAGTGAGGGTCAATATTAAAAACTGGGGATGGCTCGATACAGCTTTGTCATGTCTGATACCAGTACTGCAACTGGGAATATGTGCTGATTCCCAGATGAATTGAGACATTCTTAATTCCTCCCGCAAGCTGTGGGCTGCTGCTGCTGAGGCGATAATGTCTCTCTTTACGGCATGTCGCACTAAAGTCAAATTGAGCATTTGGGCTTTGGTATCTTATCGAACAGGCTGTAGTTGTTTTTTTTATGCCTCATCCTTAAATTTTAATCAATGTTGACTTCCTGAGTATCAGATCGAGCCATCCCTAGTAAAAACCTCTCTAACAGTTGCCCCACTCAGGGTACAAACTTAAACAGAGGCTAATGGAACTCTTCAACCTTGACCATGACCTGGATGACTGAGTCTTCATAGACATCTAAACAGAGACATTTGTACAATTATACTTTAACATCCACCCCTGTCAAACCAGTAAATCCTGCTAAATATTTTTGGATTTCTACTTTTGCTGCGCATACATTCGCTGCATAGTTCATTCAGGTTGCTTCAGTTTTTCTATTTTTGTATTGCAGCTCACTTCCACCACGTGATTGAGTTGCTTCGTTTTCGACAGGGGACACTGTCTGGAATTTTTCTGTCCGCAGGTGAGAAATTGGTGCACTGTTTGTTATCAGATATATTCACAAGTTAAAATGGGCTGTTGATGATTTTTTTATTTGTTTGTTTCTTTTCTGTCAACAGTGTTTCAGTTCTCCTACACAGCAGTCTTTGGTGCCTACACTGCCTTTATATTCATCAGAACAGGTAAGGAATCAGGACAAAGTTGTTGTCATTTCATGTCATGTCAGTTCGACCATTTTAAGTCATAAGTTATGAGCAACCTGTTCGTCTTCTACAGTCAAAAGATGAAAGATTTATCTTACTGGGTCTGTAAAGAATACAACACCCTGAAAGAATTGTGTTCAGAAATCAGTATTGGTGGAACTCTTCTTAAGATGTACAAAATAGATTTTTGTAGATACAAAAGTGATTTATCATCTTGGAGTACTTTCCAGAGCACATGCACACACACAGAGACACATGCATGATCTGTACAATGACTTTTATTTAGCCATATAGTAAAATACTAAATAAAAAACATACTTTACACGTACTTATGATATGACTATATCTAATGTAAATATTTTTATTCTAAGTATTTTATACATGATTGAGAAGTATCAAAAGTGTCGTAACACACGGTGGTACTGTATCGATACCAAAATGTTGATTTTGTTACATCGCTACCTAGGACAGTGGCATTTCTGCGCATTTTCTGACCAGTGAATGTTATCTCTCTACCTGGTCCTTTGTTTGGCCCTAAGGTCTTGTCCCAGTTGGACATGCCATGAATGTCACTAGAATGACACTTTGGTGACATGTTGACCAGATGTACTTGGTAGGGCACTAACAGACAAACCGATTTGTCAAAGTGTCAGTGTGACTGGCATCATTGGTTACAGGCGCAATGTGGGAGAAATATGAATGATCTTTTTGGCAGAAAAATGTTGATTTTAATTCTGATCGAATTACAAAGCATCCCTGGAAAGATTGCCTGTGCTTGACTGGCTCACCTGAAGTCCATATCTATCACCTATTATTTTTTCCATGAGCAATTCAAATCCCTTTTACCCAGAATTGCAACAAGAGTTCTTTCTTGACTCGTGCCCACGGTCAAGTTTGTGGGCACAACAAAATTCCCAGGACCTGAAACTACCAACTACAAAGCTCTTAACCTTAACACACCATAATGTTTCTTCCCGTTTGTGTGTCCCAGGTCACCTGATTGGTCCTGTTCTCTGCCACTCCTTCTGCAATTACATGGGGTTTCCTGCCATCAGCACAGCAATGGAGCATCCCCAACGCCTCACTGTCCTTTCCTCCTACTTGCTTGGAGTCATTCTTTTTCTCTTTCTCCTCTTGCCCTTCACCAACCCTTACTTCTACGGTTTCCCGACACCAGTCTGCACACTCATCTCCTCCCTAAGTTCCCTCTGCCTCTCCTGATCTCTGGCTCGAACTGTCACTTCATGTGAACCAATCCCCCTCGGCGTGCTACAACTTTGAAAATATTCCGAAGTAGCCAAGACCTCCATCAATCATATGATTTGGCGGGCTGTCACCAGGCCTCTGGTCGGATGTCTGCTAAAGTCAAGTACTTTACTTCACAGGAGGTAGGACACGTGTTGTTAGGGATGCTTCATCACATTATTTTTTGTGTCAGATTTAGACACTGCAACTTGGAGCATTTGTCAATACCAATATCAATCCGTACCTTCTTTACTTCTCCAGCAAGCTTTAGGCTGCTGTTGCTGAGGCAATAGTGTGCCTGTTTATGGCATGTCGTGCAAAGTTAAGTTGAGCGTTTGGGGTCGGGATTTGGTTCGGATGGACTATAGTTTTTTGGGGTTTTTTGTTTTATCAATGTTTGATTCTAGAATTTTGTGTACTGTTTTGAGCCATTCCTACTTGTTGTGCTGCCCTTCTGTGCTACGTCTTGTACACAAGGGGCGTGCTAGAATTTATTCCACATAAAAATGCTATTTTTTTTTTTATTTTTTTTTTTTTAATTTTTTGCAGTAAATAACTAGTCGCGTAGAGTAGTAGAAACAACAAGTTGACTTGTATCTGTGGTGCAGGCCCTAAAATGTGATTTGCTGGCTTAACACATACCAGAAGGATGACTTGAACTTTGTCTGAAAAAGGGTCTTAACAGCAGTCAAGTGCATGGTGATTTCTTCATTCTTGACAATTGTTGTGTGTAAACAGAGGTGGAAGTTGGAGGGTATTTTTGATTTTGAACCAATTACTTATTTTATGGCAGTTGGTCCTGTATCATATGTGGTGATGCATATATCAGTGGTGTTTTCAGACTAGTCGTTGTATGTTTATTTTTTTTATTTTTTTTAGCTTGTGCTTGTCAAATGCATTTTTACAACAAGAACCTTACTCTTTTGTTTTACTAATGGGTTAAAACAGTATTTGTGCTCTTGGGCAGAATATGCCAAGAAAGCCCTGACCTGAATAACAGCAGACAATCTGAGGGTCACAAAGTTTCTCTTTTTGCCCTTGCTCCTGTTTTATCTGAAAAGGAGTGGCAAGGAACTTTTTAGTGTTTTTTTTTTTTTTTTTTTTTCTTTTCCTCCTGTGAACAAAGGCGTGACGCCTACTGCTGTTACACACAACGACTCTGCATGATTCATGTTGCTGCGATTTACTTAATATCATTTGAATCTCATAACACGGTCTTGGGCTGTGAGCTGGCTCTGCTGCTAGTAGATAGATTGTAATGTAAGCTGATCACTGAAGGACTTTTCCCACACAGATCCTCTCACACTGGTTCATGACAAAGCATAAGTGGGTTCTGTATTTGTGTACTCACCGTGAACTCTGTGGCCATCATTGTAGGTTTTGTGTTTTATTTTAATCTAGGCCGTCATTTTGTCATTGTTGTATTCTGGTGTATCTTTGTTTATTCATATTTTTAAAATTATTCTTTTGAGCTGCAATTTATCTATACATTTGTTGATAAATCACAAAGTAAACTTTACATTTAACAATCATTCAATCACATGTAAGGAGTTACAGATTCTCTTTAACCTGTAAGTCTCTTTGTGAAGCTTGGTGTAAATTTTTGTAAGAACATTTGGATCTGCTTTGACTGCAAACAAACAGGCTGGTGAGATTTGACGTATACAACAAAGTGAGTGACGGAAAAGGATGTGAAATACTGTAATTTCCAGATTATTGAGCACACCTGAATATAAGGTGCACCCACTAAATTTAAAAAGAAAAAAATAATTGTACCTATATAGGCCGCACTTCTCTATAAGCCGCATGTGTCCACGTTGTAACAGGATATTTACACAGAAAGATTTTTTTTTTTCACTTTTAAATAAATGTTTGGGTTTTTTTTTCAAAACGGTGCCTGCAACATGGCTGTTTACAAGTTAGCTCTTTTTTGCTTTGATGTCCCAACCGTAGTTGGAATACACAGGGTAGACTTCTGCTCCAGGGTTGGAGCTAGCATTAGCTCTGGGGCTAACTCTCTTCACTTTGTGCTTGTCCGAAGCAGAAGTAAACAGAAACAGGGAAGTTGGGGTCTTTATTATCAGCCACTCCGACCACAACAGAACATAAACAGTGTTTTCACAGCTCCTGTATAACTCAGGCTTCAACATGACAGAGCTCGAACTGCTCTCAACTTTTGCTACCTTTCTGTGACACACGCATCCCAGGCACATATATGCACACACCCATTCATAGACAAAGAAAGGGCAGTGGTGGCTTAGTGTTTAAGGAAGCGGACTTGGGTCCGGAAGGTTCGAGTCCACCAGCTGCCAAGTTACGACTGAGGTGCCCTGATCATGGCACCGTCCAAACACACCACTCACCGGGCAGCTTATTAGCTGCCCACTGTTTACTTTGGAGATGGGTTAAAAACAGAGGTCACATTTTGTTGTGTGTGCAGTGATGCTGTGTCACAGTGACAAATAATTCACTTTCACTTTCACAAACATACATTACTAGTATAACACAGTAGCCTACCAGAAAAGTCTTTGATCACTAGCGGTATGAACCTTGTTAGCCCGTAAAAATCCATAAATTAGCTGTATCATTGTTTAAGCTGCAGGGTTCAAAGCATGTGAAAAAAGTAGCGCCTTATAGACCGGAAATTACAGTATTTATTGATTACTCTTTTTTTCCTCAAGGTTTTAAATGTCTTCTATAATAATAAGGTAGATTTTTTTTGGTTCACATCCTGTGTATTTTGTGTTTTTGATATTGATAGCACCATTGCTGGAACGGTTCGCAAATTCAATCTTTCTGAGTTCACGTGTACTCCCCATGTGTGCTTAGGTTTTCTCCAGGTACAGTTTCCTCCCACGGTTTAGAAACATGCTCAGTAACGAAGTAGGTTGATGGGACATTCTAAATTGACCATAGGTGTGAACGTGACTGTGAATGGTTATTGATTCAGTGAATGTCTCTATATTTCTGGCCTTGCGATGGATTGGCAAAATACCCCAGGGTGTGTCCTGCCCTCCTCTGTTTACAGCTGGGATTGGCCCCAGCACCCCCTTGTATTCTCCTATGCGGCCCTGCAAAGAAATAAGCTGTAGATAATGAATGGATAGATAAATATTGCTAGCTCAATAATTAGGATGTGAATGATGAAAGACTTCTTTTGTGGGAAACCACTCTATCAGAACCAGTTATTTAAGGTCACTTACATACCTCTGCATGTTTAAGTGTTGGTGCGTTGTTGTTTTGGTAGTGAAAAGACATGTTATGGAATAGCACATATTCACTGTCAGTCTATTTAAATATGCATACACAAATGGTAGAGATTGTTGGTCTGGTTTAAACATAATATCTTGTGGAAATGTTTCTACAGAAATCTGACTAGTAATACCAGAGTGAAAATTGATCCTTGAAGTAGCAATGTCATGCAGAAAAATCTAATATTGTATGATAATCACAGTTAAGTGGACCTAATATACTTGGCCACAATTTATTATGTCCATGCAGGCTATGTGACAATAGATTGATTTGACCCACAAGCTCTCTGGCAGTATGATGCAGAGACACTGTTTAAAGATAGGGTCCCCAACACCTGGTCCGTAGGTCAATTGGTACTTGTGAGACACAGTGAGAAAATGTACTTTATTTTTTCTAAATTACTTAATTCAAAGAGAATTTCAATAAAGTATCTATCTCTGTCTAAAATCCATTTACTTTCTTAACTTTAAGATTATGTGGCAATATTTCAAAAATAACGTCATTCAGATGCCAACATTAACCTATTAAAGTTAAAAAAAGTTATTTTGAAAATGTAACAATATTTCAACAATTGATGCAGTTTTTTTGATCTGTAATAACGGTTGGGGACTGCTGGTTTACAGATTACGATTTATTTATTTATTTTTTTTGTATTGAGACAGATCAAGTAGTAGAATCAATATACATAAGTAGGGATGTCCGATATGAACTTTTTGCCGATATCTGATATATCGATATTGTCTAAACACTAAATTTCCGATTCTTATATCAACTGATACCGATAGAGCGGGGCAGTGGTGGCCTGGTGGTTAAGGAAGTTAATTACTGACTGCTTACAAAGGTAATGGGTGAAAGCAGTGTTTCTCAATTATTTTCTGCCAATCCCCCACTAGGGGGCAGAAGCCCCACCCATTTAGTGAATTTCACTTTCACATACAGGCATTTCTTCTCTAAAATGATTTTTAGTGCACACATTATTTGGCAAAACCCAGGCATTGTATTATCAGGTTTTTATTTTCGAAGTAAAAACCGATAACGATTTTTAAAGATTAGATAATTATGTTAATGTCGGTCTCTATACATAAGTAATGAAAACATTTCTTTGCTTCCAGTAGAAAAAGAAAGAAAGCGAAATTTAAAGAGTAGACTATTGGTAGATTTACAATGAATTGTTTCTAGTATAGGAAGTGCTTTAATTAATTTGACATTTTTTCTGCAAACTAATGTTGCGGTAAGGGAATCCGTTGATGCAATCTTTGGTCTCTGCACCAAACATGCATTACAAACATTTCAAAAGTTTTTTTTGTGCATTAATGCAGCTTCAGTAAGGCAATTTTCATTATATACACCAATATTTTAGTCTTTTTGGCATCGCCATCCTCCCTCTTCATCTTTTCCTTCCTCTCCTCTGTTGCACCAACCTTGAGTAAATTCTCGTGTTTTACATCCATGAATCCGTTAATCCTCTCTTCTTCTTGCCTTGCTGCTTTCCTTACTTCTATTTTCACTGTCTCCCCCAAGCACATGCCCACACAAACTCAGCCCGGCCTCCCATCTCCAAACTGTACAACCCAGGTTCCACTTGTTGTTTCTCTTATGTATACTCGCCGTTCCGAATGAATCTGAGCATCTTCCACTCCAGTTCAGGTCCTGTCGTTTGAACAGCCTAAGTACTTGTACCACGACTGTGATTATTTTCTTTACCTTTACCAAGTTTTTGGAGTGAAGTTTTGTTTTTGTTTTTTTTTTTAACAGGGTTTAGGGGGGATTTGGGGCCCCCCCCCCCCCCCCAAACTTCTCATTTTCCTTAGTTTACTTAACCCCTAGTGAGTAACAATTACACTACACAAAGTGTTCTCCAAACTTTTTGAGCCACAGCACATATTCACAAGTATATTTAATGAAATATAATGATCTGGTTTCATTTTACCCATAATGTGCATACTCGTGTGTAACAGGCCTTTTTAGTTTAACAGAATGCTGCCACACTGGCAGGATTTGAAGAAAGGGCAAAAACAAATTATAAGCAGTCAATAATTACTAGTTCTTAGACTAATTTGGGGAAATTGGAGTGTGGTCTGGATTCTTCATATGCCTCCTTCTCCATATTGTCAATATTGTCATATTGACGTAAACAGGATTTCCCGTAAAGCAGTGGTTCTTAAACGTCTTATACTCTGTACCACCTGAGAAAAAAAAAAAACGAAGTAAAAAAAACAAGTAAATCAATAAAAAAAACCAGACATGCTATTTCATAATCTCACAAGTAGCTACAAAATTTCTAAATGTTGTATTAAGTGTGCGTGGTATGTTTCAGATTTATTCAATTGAAAATGTAAATGTGAATATATGAATTTTCCTCACGTACCACAGTCACTCTGGATAATATCAAATGTATAAAACAAACTGAAGAAAAAGCTAATACACAAACTAAAATGATCCCTGAAAAAGATAAACTAATCTCTTTCCTGCATAACGAGAAATACAGTAGTTAATTCAAAAATACAGTAGTTTCAATACAATACAATTTTAACAGTAACAATAAACCCTTTTCCACTGAGGTTGATAGTTCTGTAAATAAGACATGTCAACCAAACCACTTAAACACCAAACTATCTCTAAACCTTACAGAACCATTGTTCTTTTGTTTACTGACCAACTCCTCTTCCATTGCGTGTTCCATGTCAGGAATGTTATTAGGTTGAGTATGTTAGTGTATCATCAATGTATCAAGGCCCCTCATCCACATGGCAGTGACATTCTGGGTTCCCTGCAACTGTATTTTTCTGAGAACAGGTTCCAGAGTGGGAAAATCTGTTGCCTTGCCGTTGTCATGAAGGATGTGTCATGTTGATACTGCAAACCAATTTTTTATTGTTTTTTTTTTTTTTTAGAACAGTGACGTTGCTGCCCTGTCACTTTGATGTGACCAGATGAACGTGTAGACAACTAGGGGTGAGACGATGTGCTTTGGTCACAAAATGACCAACTAAAGTACAGTTTTGATTTCTATCACGATTCTTGATTATTGTAATAGTACAGGTATCGTGATTCCATGTAGTTGGTAACTGCGAATTTCTTCTTAAAAAAACAAACAAGTTGAAACATACACTTGTAGAGGCAATAAACCATGACTGAAAATTTCATAAACAACACACCAGTCTGTGTTTCAGTTGAGGCAAAAAGAGGAACACAACAAATACCGCAAACAAAATTGCAATATTTACATCGATTTATTTTTTTTTCCACACCCCTAATAACATTGAATGGTAGTTAGCGGAGTTGTATTTGTGTTGCAGGCGCTGCTAGGTATTTTATTTTTATTTGTTTTGCATTTCCCTGTATGTATGTGTTGCAAAATGTCTTTTTGTTTATTTATATACTGTTTTCCCTTTTTAGGCTAAAAAAAATATTATTTTTCACAAAGATTTTGTCATATTAATGAATTATTCTGGAAATTACAATTAGTTTCCCTTTTTAGGCTAAAAAAAAAAAATTAATTAATTAATTGTGAATAATCATAAATTACATTGTGATTAATCTGATTATTTTTAATTAATTAATAGTCCTCAACACACCTAAATATGTGTGTGTTTGTTTATTGTATATGTATATATTTGTATATGTGAGAATTTACATATGTGTACATGTACAAATGATCACAGCTGATTGCTCTTGTTAGACCTTTAGTTTTTCCAAAAATGACCACACCAAACACTATAAGCTACACTTGTTATGTGAACAAGACAGTCGACTGTCTAATTTTTTCAGCAATAAATACATGTATGTGGAGCCATTTGGAGAAGTAAATTGGCAGTGATACTTCACATCCGGGTGGAACCGGAAGTTGTTCTTGGGAGTTTATTGTGACTGTTTACGAAGTGATGACAGGCTCGGCTGAAAAATGTGAACTGTGTTTACCTTCGTTTGCCAGCAGAGGGCATTAGAGAACGTGGAGGAGAGACAATCACTGTAGAAACCTGTTTGACGTCCATGATTCACTGCTGGAGGACTAATTGACTTTAGCCTGTTAGTGCAGTCGTGCAGTTATGGAAGTTGACGCAGAGGCTTGTGATAAAGCTTACTGCTTCTTACTAAGAAAGTAATAAAGTGTTTTTAGTATATATACATACAGTATATGTGTATACGGTATATGTATGTGTATGTGTGTATATATATTTTAATATATATATTTATATATATATTTGTGTGTGTGTGTGTATAGCCAGTGGAACACAACACTGTTGTGGTCTTTTGCTTTGAAAGAATGTCTTTCTTCTACCTATGTAAGTTTAAACAATATTTAAGTCTTTTTGCAGTTCTGTAGCCTTTTTTGTCACTTTTGTGTCAGAACTCACATACTTACATAACGTAAAAAAAGGCCCCCCACCCCCCCGGGGGGGCCAAAAAGAAGGTTACCCCCCCCCCAAAAAAAAAAAAAAAAAAACAGCACAAACATAAGGAAGTGAATGTAGCTAAACTCAGTGTATCATGTACAACTGGCGAATGTACAACTGGCAAAGCTGTCCTCCACATATAGACCAGAGTTACTGCTCACCAACTAGCTGTCACGCAAAATGCTTGGTGAGTTATAACGCTATTCATTGGTATGATGAAACAAGACTTTCTTAATAAATCGATGGAAGATGGCAATGTAACCATGAACGCCATAGGGCAAGGACGTCGTAAACCAAGGACCCAGTGTGTATTACTATGAATGCATTGTATACCCATAATATCAAAGAGTGCTTAGACCAGGGGTCTCAACCTCATTTAGGTTCAGGGGCTACATACAACCCGATTAAATATAAAAGTGGGCCGGACCAGTACAATCATAGTATAATTACCTATAAAAAACAAAAAGTCCATGTTTTTCCCCCCTCCTTTGTTTTTCTGCAAATTTTTACAAGTACATTAGGATATATTAAATTTAATATAATTTGACAAATGAACACAAACAAGTGCGCATTTTTTCACATTTAAAATTCAACAAAAGGGATTTAACCCCCTAGCAGGCCATGTTCGACACCCTTGACCTGGACTCTTTGCTGTTGTAATATGCAGAGTCGATTTTTACCTCTCCTCTCTTTTCCTACAAAACACCCACTGGCAGGATCTTTTTGGAATCTGAACTGGTGAACGTGAACTTCACTGATGTTTATACTGAGCACTATATTTTGTAATCAGATCTATTTTGGGGACAGGAACCGAGCAGTTTTTTGCATTTATTTTTTTGGCCCACATGACAACAACCATGTATAGTATGATATAGTATCTTTACCACGTTGTATCTATTTGTAAATATTAAAAATGTAATTTTATACATTTGCTTGTGTCCGTCTTTTTGTCTTTTTGTCCCTGTGTTTGTCGGGGTGTGCACACAAATGTTGAGTTTCTTGAAGGAAAAAACTTTTGTTTTTGGTGGTTTTGTAAACTTCAATGTACAAATAAAAAAGATGGAGGTAAATTTTTTTTATTGTGGAACAAATAAGGAACTTATGTGTGTACTTGAGATTAACCATGGAAATTCCGAAATATGTGTGCAACTTAAACCCACCATTAGTTGTAGCTCACAAATAGAACATCACTCCTTCTGTTTTGCACAATATATTTATTGCCTTATGAAGTGACAGTGGAGGTTGGCTCCCTGACTTCAGTTAACCCCTGTTGTCATATGTATAACAAGCACTGAGTACAGTCAGTGCAATAATATTATCTTATAGCTATATAAATGTATATAATAAATAATATGTATAGTGGCCATTATCATCAATTTTAACACAATAACATGTTGTTGAAAACATTTTTTCATTTAATCCACCGTGGCTAACGGCAAAAAACAAGTTTTATAACTTCGTAAGCGCAAAGCCAGACAGCAGCTGCTGTTTTTCCCTTACCTGTTGTTTTCTGTTTTCTCATTGTGTCTGTAAAGACATAAAGAGCCAGCATGTTCGCATAAAGCAATGAAGTAGTCCTGAATTTAATCACTTTCTCAACAGGTGAAGTAGTCTTTTCAATTGCCGTGTAAGCCAATGTCGTCACATTTACAGGTAAAAGAAGAAAACCCTTAGCAACACAAATAAAACAGACCTAGTCTCCTGAGGGTGGAATGTTCCAGGGGAGAATCCAGACACGGAGCTAGTCAAAACAACCAGATGGGGTTAAAGAAAATCTTTGGAATTGCATCATCGTACTCTGTAAATCTCTTGGGATTCCCTTGTAAGAAAACAAGCTAGATGAAGCAAAAAGAAAAGGGGTTTAAGGAGGGGCGGAACCACTCGGCTTCTATCGAAACCTAAACCAGTTTTAGCATATGCAGTATGTACCATTTGCACTGAACGTGTATACTGTATAACACTGACGTTTTACTGACAAGACGTGGAGTGGGCAGAAAGGACTTTTTTAAAAAAAGAACAGAGGCAACAAACAAAATGCAGTGTAAAATAGTAGTTAGTAGTTGAGATAGGGTCATGTATTTTACTCTAAATCCTAAAAACAAAAAAATCACATCATCTAACTTGGCATTTTGGAAGTTGGTGGATTTGAACCCAGAATCTTCTGGTAGCAGTATACACTGCACCACTACAATATGATAATATATATATAGTATGATGTAATATTATATATAAAAATCCAGCCACTAAAGTTTAGTGAGCCGCCGGTGGTCTACATTCTCACCACTGCGCCCTGGGTTTGATTCCAGGTCAGGGTGACTTTCTTCTGTGGTTCTATGGTGGAGCAGCTATTACGCCTGCTTACACATCTGCCTTACACACAGAAGGTCCTGGGTTCATCCCCAGAGAAACCACATTCTTTGTGCCAGCCGATGGGCAGCTTATCTGTCTACACTGCCTTTGAACACCCTTGTGAGCAGTGGGCTCCCAGGGAGCAAAACTTAAATGAAGCCTTTACCTGAACCTGAATTTCAGTTCCAAGACGTCTCAAAGAAGAATGTTGTGATCTGGTGTGAAACACATTCACACAATTCCAGCGTTTAGACCAGTACTTCTCAAATAGTGGGGCGGGCCCCCCTTGGCGGGTTTGGTGAGGCTTCCAATGGAATATGGCACGCTGGACATTAGTGGACCACTGCTGTAATGCTTGAATGATAACAATCCTCCAGTCACTAGGTGGCAGCAACTGATACAGTGGTTTGTACAGATAAAAATATACATGGTATCAGGTTCTCAATAGTAGTTTAATTCGTGTCAGTGTGGGTGGGGTGGAGGGGAGGGAGAGGGGTGAAAATATTTCTGTCCCCAAGGTGGGGCATGACAAAAAATAATTGAGAACTACTGGATAAAGAAATTAGGTTTTGTTTTTAGTGGAGCATTGGCCCAGAGGCAATGTCTCTGTCATTGGTGGTGTGGAACCCCAGGGTTCACCTCCTGGGCAAGTTCGAATCCCGGTTAGGGCGGTTGGTACCTTCCAGTGGACTCACCACCCGCAGGAAGGTTTGGTACGGTGCAATGTGATGTGGGTGGCGACTGCTTCCCCCGCGACCCGGTAACGGATAAGCGGATGAAAATGGATGGATGGTTTTGTTTTTTTGGGGGGGTGGTTTGGTTTTTTTAATTTTTTCAATTCGTCTTACTCTCATATTATTGACATTATATATTTGTAGATCAGGGGCCTCATGTACTAAAACTTGCATGGATTTCATCGAATAAATGCAGCTGTAATGCAGCTGTTGCCAGAACCCCCAGCGTGTGCAGCACCTGTGTGGGTAAAGACAATTTCTAGCTCCTCGCTGTGTTGCGCTCTAGGGCAGGCTTCAGCTCTGCGCACAGGTTCAGTAATCCTGGCCTTAGTAAACGAAACCTTATCAGCCAATCTTCATCATTCGCGAGTATATTTAGCTTCCCCTGAATACTTGCTCGTCTTGTTGCTACATTTGCGAGATCTTTTAACAATGCTAACGCTACCATTGTTAATAGCATTTTCTTCATCATCATCATTTTTTATATCCACCCCTAAAACTGCCAGATGTAGAAAGTAACAAATAACATTTACTCATGTAACTGTTATAGAGTAGTTTTTTTGTGTAATTTGTAATTTTTTAAGTTGTTTTGGGAATAGGTAATTTTAATGAGCTACATTTGAAAAGTTACTGAGTAAAG